AAATTGCAAGAATTTCCTCCTAATAGAGGTCATCGTCCTCACTACTATCAGTCTCCTCGGGTCCGCCCTCCCACAAGGGATCCAATTTGTTGAACTCTTCGAAGCGTCCGGCTTTGTTTCCCGCTGCCAGTCTCTTCCGCATGGCCTTCACGTCACCCTCAGGTTTGCGGCCTGCCATAATAAGCGAGATTGCAAGAAGTAGGTTGTCTGAGCTGAGAGGCTCCAGATGAAGATCCTGGACATCCTCGTGGTCTGCTGGATATAGTTTTGCCTCGTGAAGCACGCATTTCCCTAGCACCTCGATCGGGCCATCATCCTCATGGCCATTGTCGGTACCAAATATCTTCAGGTCCAGCTGTGTCACGAGGACTGGCAAGTTCTTGAGAATAGAATCAAAATCCTGCTTGGTGTTGAGAGTATCTTTGGTCGGCAAAGTGATGTGGCGAACCCAAGTCCCTAGGGAACCACGCCACTTCACACGACCTCGTGCCTGCTGCCTTGTCGACTCGTTTGGTGGCGGCTCAAACTCAATAAAAGTCCGACAAAGGTTCTGGAGGTTCAGACCAGCACATGAAACCAGGAAGGAGCAAATTAAGACAGATGCAGTCTTTGGGTCCCGATCGTAGTCGTGAATTAGTGCGTCAAGCTCCTTTGCAGGGAGATCTGTTCGGAGCTGTCGGGCGTCTATTCCACACAAGGAGAGAACCTGTAGCGACAGAGTAGTGATGTTACAAAGAAGAAATCAGGGGATACTTACTGGGCAAAGCCATTGCATCCGGGCTGGGCTGTTCACCCAAATAATTGCCTTCTCCTTGCGAAGAACCACGATCTCAGCTAGTAGTTCTAGCAGCTTTCGAAGCTTTGGGGATCCCTGGCAATGCCAGTTCAGAATTTTCTGTACGTCGTCCTTGTCGTCCTCGCTAATAGGGATGCGTTTGCCTTCATCGATCTGAGAGCGCTCTTGACCCTGTCAAAGGTCCATCAACATGACCAAGGCCGTCAAGTCCTTCCGTATTGAAGCCAGCTTCTGCGCCTTTTAGTTCAATAGGAAGTTGAACCCAATCCAAGAAGCCAGTAATGATTGCTTCCGATACGCTGTTGTCTGAAAGTTCGTTCGAAGATGAGACTGCCAAAATTCCTTGTCCCAGGGGCTGCGGCTTCTTAGCCGTCACACATGTCAAAGCGTACAGGCATGAGAAGATCGTGGAGTGCCCGGCATGGCCAAAGGAAGTTATTTGCCCATGGAAGGCATTCAGTGGATGTAATAAGAAGGGCAACAGATATGTCATGAGTACTCGGCACACCAACGACGGTGTCTTCGTTGACATGTCTCGTTCCCTGCGTGCCAAAGATGTGTTACTGTGGAGGACAGCAGTACATAATTCCAGTGTAGAACTATGGCGATATGCTTTCAGAGCTCAACAGAGATTCGTAGGTCAGATTGGACTGACTTGGGTAATATAAACGCACGTCCACCTTCTGACCTCATTGCTGCGGTATATACGCGGTTTTTATCAACTGTGTCCCTCTACACTCTTCAATTCAATTTGATCACCCCAAGAGAACTCAAGGTGGCGTTACTCTGGGTGCTATACCAAATTAGTGGGTTAGAAAGAAGGATCATGCTGTCTAAAGTGTCTCAGTGCAGAATACGCAGATGAATTAGAGTTTCTTCTCCCTTGCAACCCTTCACACACTCGCTTTTATTTTAATATATCGAAGAAAAATGAACAAGCGTTCCTCTGGCTGATGAATAAGATATGCAAAGGATAATGAGGATTACTCTACCTAAAGTGCTGTAGTGTAGAATGCTTAGATATTGTGCAACATTCTCTACTCCACATCCCTCTGCACTTATGTATATATGCTATCGCTTTAAAGAAGATTAACTTAGGGTCCTTTTCGCTGAAATAATAGACCTGTAGGTAGTAATGAAAATTCATCTGTCTGAAGGGGCGTAGTGCAGAAACCTAAGTATACAAAAGCGTCAACCACTTTACAAGCACCTCTCAGTGCCCTATCTATTTCCGAATAGCGGTCCTACAAGCTACCAGATAGATACTGTAGACGTGAGCGTCCAGCTCCGGCGGTGAAAGATGATGCTCGCGGAGGCGAGAGCTGCGGGTGTTGTGGTGCGTGCCAGTGATAATCAGGCGGTACGAGCCACCCAGACTAGTACTGGTGTTGCCTATTTCTTTCGACTGGTTGCGAATTGTGTGACCCTCATCAACAATTACACGGTTGAACAAACCGTGCAATTGGTTAGGATTATCGACAATGACTTTGAACTTGTCGACCTCGTTATCAGTCAGCGCCTGGGCGAACTCCTTCAGACTCAAAGCATGGCGTCTCTTCGCGTTCCATTTCTTCTTCAAGATGTTCTTGGTGTCCTTCCAAAGAGCTCTCGGCCCATGCCGTGCGGAAAGTGTACTGTAACTTGTGATGACGATCAAGTCGGAGTTGCTCTCGTTTCTGTTGAAAAACCTGCGGCTAAGCGTGAGCCTCTGTGTTTTCTTCGCGCCAACATAAATAATCTTTGGGTTGCTAGTATTCTTCTACGCTCCATAACAGACTGCAATCGTAAAGCGCTCAGTGAAGCGCTCAATGTCTGACACCCATTGGAAGACAATGTTCTGCGGCACAATGATGATCGTAGGCAAAGCTTTTGGGACCGTTTCCCCGCGACTTATCATGTCTCGCTGCTGATTGGAGCGAGCTAGGAGCAATCCAATCGTTTCAATCGTCTTTCCCAGGCCAACGTCATCACCTAGTATGCCACCACCGATGAACGAGTCCTCAAATCCCATCAGAGCGTTGATACACACCGGCTGATGGAAATCAAAGTATACATTCGCGAGCATGCCATCGATTTGAGGTTTATCAGGGTTTGGAATGCCGAGGTTTCAGCATGCACCCTCGTGGTCTACAGGCTGATATGCTTGATTGTCTGTCCATTTACTGGACTCGCGATACTCTGCAATCTGCTCCTTGGTGATATTGTGGATTCGAGTTAACGGTCCATTTTCAGGGGCGTTACCTTCCTCCAGCTTGATTGGATCAGACAGAAGAAGTTCGAGGTGACCAAGCTCTGCAGTGAAATGCGCGTTAACCTCCATTTCATACTAAATCTAGCCAACATATATGTTTATCAATATTGAATGCGTACCACTCACTCTTATGGCGTTTTCGGCATCTAAATCCTCTTCAGGCTCAACTGGGGCATCTCTTCTCTTAATGAGACCCAAGTCACGCCTACCGTCAACAAACTGCACGATTACTGTGGGTTCATCAAGTTTCTGCAGAATAGTAGAGTCTAGGATGAGGCTTGCATTCCTGGGCTTGGTTTCAAAGACGAGGATTTTGCAGAACGACGAAGTTACATCCAACGATACGCCATCAAGGATAGTCCGCTGGCAAGAGTACTGCACTGGAATAACTCCTTCGCATTTCCAGATGACGACCCACGTGCGGTGCTCAGGTTCACTTCAGAAGCTGCTCAACTTCACATTTTCGTGGACGTACAAATCATCAGTATGGCAGAACAGGGGCACATGATGTCACCAATTCTCAAGCATTTGATTGTCCGCCGCACACCGTCTTCCACTCTTGGAGGAAATACTATCGGCGCAATCCTACCAAGCGTGCAGCGGATGGTGTTTGAATGTGACTTCACGCTATTAGAGCGGAAACACTACGATGCTGCTATGGCCGATGAGTCAACCAAGCTGTTCGGAAAAAGCAAAAGCAAGGACACTGTGGAGTTCGGGAGTATGGCGTTAATACTCCGTCTTTCGAGTGCCGAAGGGATACGTGCTGAGCGAGTCCTTCGAACGAAGTAAACTTTCCGTTTCTGTGGTCGCAATTTCGACCCTTCGCCTTGAAAGGACAAAAGTATACACCCTTGTCCTCGAATGGTCGAATCGCGCCAGCGAGGGCTGATTGTCCAGTGGTGACGAGGTGTCGCTGCATGGCTGCAGCAGCTGCGACACTCGGCACTGAAGGGACGACATGGGCATCGTTCTGATCAGGCTTGAGACACACTGTGGCATCGGGATGATCGGTGGCTGAGGCCCGGCTGTCACCTCCTTTCAAGCCTTTGGGTGTTGGCTCGTCGCGCGAATCTCCATGTAGCGGCTTGTTCAAGAACAATGAGATCATTGAATAATTTCTGCAATGCTTTGGGCATAGTTCGCGCTGTTGAACGCGAGGACGGGTGGCAGGGCAGAACAGATGAGGTTCTGACTTAGCTACAGACAGTAAACTGTGCCTGCTATTAGATTTAGATTTCTCACCGTGCCTACCCTTGGAGTCCTGACTGGGCCTGTTTGATTTTAGATGCCCCTTGCCTGCTTCTTATTTTAATCCCTGCATTACCGTTACGGAATCGTCTTTACTATCGCCCACCTCGGGTGCAGCCACGAGATTCTACACTGTTCATATACTCTCCCGTGTGTTATTCGTGCATGTTCCATGACGACCGCAAATCATCTCTGTGTGCGTGCTTTCGATACTTGCAATAGGTAGGCGGGGAGCCAATTTCTGCGAGCATTGCATACTAACACATTCGAGATCTGAATTCAGCAACTCAAGATTGGGCTCTATAAGTAATATGTGTAGAATGTTTTCGGGCCATGTGCACATGGATAGCGAAAGGATGAGGAGAAATGTATGAGAAGAAAATGTGTAATTACTGAATTAAATAAAAAAAGAGAAACCCAAGAGTAAAGAGGTGAAATAACCTAGAGCCTAGATCTTAGAATAACAGACACGTTGTGTGCTACGTGCTGGCTTCGATCTATACTAGGAGCTAAAGTGAGATAAGATAAAGTTAAAATTCAACTACTGAGTTTAGCTGACTCAGCAATTCATATTTGAATCTCAAGTCTGATGCTAACACATGACATAATTTTTTAGGTTCCACACAGGTGCTGCCACCTTCTAATCTTGCAGCGCGTTGATATATATTGTAAATAATCCTAAAAAATATATAAATATTGTTCGGTGAGATGGCCGAGTGGTTAAGGCGATGTGTTTAGGTAAGCAATTGCATACCCGAACCGCATTCCGAAAGGGCGTGGGTTCGAATCCCACTCTCATCAATCGTCCTTTTTTTGTTCTTTTTTATTTTTTGCCCTCTTTTTGCCCTCTTTTGCCCAGCTCTATCATATGTTCCAGGCAAGTGGGGCATGCACAGCTGACTAGCTCGTACATACCGTCCACCGAATCTATTCTTCCACTGCAACGGCCCAGGTCATTATTTTAACAAACTCCTATCTCTTCACGATCCAAGCATCAAGAATCGGGGACAATCCAACAAGTCTAAGCACGATAAAAAACCATGCCGGTCCAGCCAGACGACCTTCTGCTTTCTGTAAGTCGCATCAGAGCCCACATGCCTAATCAATAACCACGCAACTACTGATCGTGCAGCTGCAATCCTCTCTCCGTAATGCACTATCCACATTCGGCCCCGAGAGTACTCAGTATCGTAATATCAAACTGATGGTTGATGAGTACGCGGCCAAGCTCGCGCTGGAGAGCCTGTCAATCTCGTCAGACAAATCAGGGCAGCGAGAAGATGTAGAGATGCAAACGAGTTGAAGCATGTGACGGACACGGGAGGGGTTTAATCAAGGCACATCGAGGCGCATCCAAGATATCTCTAGCAGGGCCATATTCTAATGGTGCTGGTATTACATCTCTAGCACCGAAGCAATAGAAGATTTCAATATTAGGTCATGTGTCTTTCGACTAGACATTCACCACCTCTTAGCTATGCATGGAGTATGCCTCGATCTGAAAACATGTCTTCTGCACTCGCGTGGTGGCTTTGTCGACGAGTATGTCAATAGCATCCGTGTCATCGGACTCATCGGACGCTAGGTCCTTGCTAAATGCTGCTGTAGCCACGACTTGGACAATCTAAATAGGTACAACACGGCCTCATGTAAGACTAGAAAGCTTTTGTTCGGGTGTACACAACTCCTTGTCTAGATACACATAAAACTCGCCCGTTTTATCCTTCCTCCTAACTTGCACGTGAGAGAGTGTTCCTTGATACCTATAGAGATGTTGTGCACGAGGGGAAGCCAGAGACGAGCGACAGGACCGTCAGTACCTGCAGGGTCTGTAGATCAATGCATCTTCACTTGGACACTGGAGTCATGGGAAAACCATATCAACCAGACCTAAGTCTCGCTCGCAAAGCAAACCTCACTGTTCCAGCACTGCAAATGACTCCACGCTTATACATGATTCGAACAAATGACGAACAAGTTACACGCTGTCTGAAGATGACTCTACCTTGACTGTACTCATGGAGAGTCATCAGGCAACGTAGTCATACAACGAGCTTGGATCACGTAAGAGTCACAGTCAAGTATTAGTCATAGATTGTTTGGAAATGAGATGTATATATAAAGAAACTATTCCGATAACTTCAGACTGGAAGAGCGCGCTCATATCACAGTAAGGACGGTCCTCTACAAACTAAAAGTCACATTAGGAACGACATCAGGCGGAGTCAATCAACCCTAAGGGAGACTGCACACCAAGAAGAAAAACGACAACGCGCGACCAGCGTCCACTCAAGAGCGGACGAGGTAAGTAAACCAACAAGCGAACATCAAAAGGAAACTTTTGCCGACGGCAAAGCTGGTATCTTCACCAGCACCTTACAACCACCGGGAACCATTTTCAAAAGACGGAGATATTCATGGTCCGTTGTATCCATGAGCAATAGCAAGATTCTTCCACTTCTCAACCTCATCCTTCATTTCTGAGTTTTGCGTCTCGAGTTCAGAGTCACGCATCTCGAGTTCAGAGATACGTGTCTCGAGTTCAATGACATAGTTCAACTTCCTCTGCCTAGAGTCACGAGCAGCCATGGTGTTGCGCCTTCGCTTCATGGCCGTCTTGTCGTTCGGATCAACCGGGATGTTGTCAAGTGGCTTAGTGGCCCGGGCCCGGCGAGCCTTGCTGATACCGTTTGTGGTAGGCGAGTTCGTGATGCCAGACTTGCGGCGGAAGGAATTGCTGTCCAAGACGACAGGTGAACCACTGCTTGAGGAAGCAGATCGTTGCATGGACTGGCTGCTGATGGTGCGCTCCAAAGGCTGGGGAAGAGCGGGCACATATGTAACATCAGGGATCTTTACCTCATCTTCGGGGAAGAGAGGGAACCATGCGTTGGTGCTGTCGATCAACGGCTCCGCCTGGAACATAGGGGAGCACTCGACGCTGTCGATGTAGAAGGGAGACTGATCAATATCAGGCGAGGTCAAGTTGGTGAACGCCGTAGAGGGAGGCGCAGAGCCGAAGGAATCGTTGAAGACGTCCTTCGGCGACACAGTACGCGCAGACCCGGCGCCAACGGAGTAGTCGTTGATCGCCGTGAACGCGGAGTACTGGTCCATGTTGAACCCTTCGGACGGGAAGCCCGCGAGGAGGCTTGCGCCCGAGTCGAAGGAGTTGTTGCTGTTCAAGTCTGCGGGAGAGGTGAGCTTGGGAGTAGGGTTATGGCGAAGGCGACCCATACCTGCCATGTTTGTGACGTTTTTTAGTTGTGGGGTGCTGTTGCTAGAGCTGGAAAACAAGGGAACTGGGGGACGTTGGCGTGACAGGGGCGACTGGAATTCTGTGGTTGATGATGGAGCAGAATTGGCGTAGAAGTGCTGGCCGGTGTTAAACGTATGCCCAGGCTGATGAGCGCTCGGTGCTCGCTGAGGCCGTTGGGAGACCTGAGCTGGTTGATCGTAGAGCACAAAGTCCGTCTGAGGAAGTGCGAATGCGGATTGACTCGTATTCAATGGGTGCCGAGAGGCTTGGGGTGCTGGTGAAGAAAGCCATGGTGTCTGTTGAGAAGCCGTGGTGGACGACGTTAAGTCGAACTGGGGGGAAGACGGCGAACTAAAGCTGCGCGAAGCGAGACTTGAGTTCAGAGGTTCCAAAAAGGAAGACTCTGAGAAGGGGGTTGAAGAGGGGAGTGATTGTGTGGGTTGGGGATCCAAAGTGTCGGCGGTGAGGCGACGGCGAGAAGCTGGGAAAGCTAGAAGGCAGCCATGATCGAGACTGTCTTGTGGTGTTATGTTGTGTGAGAGTGATGAGTTGGATGAAAGGGAGAAAATCAGGCAGCGAGGGCGAAGTGGGGGATTTAAACACGCGCCCAAGCGAGTGCGCTAGCCGTGTGTCAGGTGTGACTCACTGAACGTGCAGGAGCGACCCAGCGTGCTCCTGCCGTCGGCCAATCCGCGCCTGCCCCGGCGGCCCTGACTGATCAGCACTAGCCGCCTTGGGCCTGGTGGAGAATCTTGCTCGCGCCGCCGCTCTCCCTCCTGCGCGCCAATATTGCCGCAGGGCCTTGTCAACCAGACTGTCTGCGTCTCGCGACGCCCATCTCCGTCCTCGACACGCAAGGTCCTCTCTGTGCGCGTGAAGAACTCGGAACCTCTATGTTGCGGCGACTCTCAGTGCACGCGCTGTCCCTCGAAGCCTCCAGTGCCTTTGGAAGAATTCAGGCATCAGCGATTCGGCGCAGGACTTACTTACTAGCCTAGGGCGTGCATTACCCAGGCATGGGCCCCCTAGCAGCTGCACCCTCGAAACCGGTGGAGGTGATTACGACCACTAACCCCGAGTCGGCAAAGAAGGCTTCTTTTCCCGCTGCGAAAGAGGGCGGAGCGACTTCGCCGCCCTTTCCATCAATCCCATAATTGCGCCGATGCGCACCAGAGGAAGTCTTGCGCTCTTGTTTGTCGCAGAATTCAGTGCGCGGCATGGCTTCCGTCTCAAAGGCGCCGCGCGCAAGGTTTCCACAAATAGGCTCAGAGTTCTCTGGACCTACGGCAAGCTTGTTTCCGTGAAACACAGGTCCTCTCCCACGTTCATCATGTTCACTGTTGGACACGACACATGGAATTCTGCTCCGCTTTTGTTTTATTGAGCAGGAACACAGCCCCTCCAGCATGCAAGTCCGGATCGTTCTTATGGTGATCCGGGGGGATCCATTGGCACATTGTCCATCTTGGCGTACACTGCCTCACTTCTGCGGCTGATAGAGACATTTGCCAACAGCTTATTGGCCCAGATTTCTAGCATACCTTCTCAGCAATACGTACTGACCATTCTACATACTCCGTTCCAGCATTAAACCTGTTGGTTGGATATTGACAGGAATCGGAAATACCGTGGACCCTTGATTTAACTTTCGTGCGGCCGCGGATGTCTGCTTCGAGGCGTGGACATACCCGATGCAGTACTAGGCTAAGGTCGTAGTCGGCACGTTACATGGAGCACTACTACTCTGTATCCCTCGTATCAGTTGCCATAACCATCAAGCGGCTTAGAAATCTACCGCCGATCAGGGTCTGACAACCTCACAGTGCGAGTCTGGCACCCTTGCACCTGCTGATGAGAGACAAAGAGAATAACTTTGATATCATTACCCTGTAGATCGCATCTTACAAATTCAAGAATAGCAAAGGTTCATGTTCCGTAGTGCTGGTGTGGCGTTGATCCACTGAGCGAAACCTGGGGATGCCTATGTAATACTGGCGGGCCTCGAAGCTTACAAGTCATGTCAAGCCTCGAATATCAGGACTGTAGCCTCAGAATGTGATAGAACATGCTTGCAGACCATATCCTTTTGTATTCTCCTCCCGACGCTGAATGCTCACCTAGCACGTGCATTAGGCGTCCAAACATCTCTTGTTCATTTGAGTCTTGGCGCCAAGCATACCAGACGTTGCAAGAAAACAGCTACCAGCACCTTCATGCAGACTCGAAAGCCATTCTGTTCATCTGAGTCGTAGTCTTCCTCTATAGACAGATTATCCGAAAAGCAACGCGATGGTTCAAGTTCAAACAAAGGAGAAGCTGCATGCTGCATGTGACGAGTGTCGTAAGCCGCCTTCCAGTGCTTTCATCTCATCTCAATACTGTCGATCTGACTTGACACGTAGGAACTCGGAAGCTGAAGTGCTCAGGCGAAACCCCAAACTGTGATCGCTGCAAAAGAGAGCGGATAGAATGTATTTACTCAGCCCAGAAACAGATGGGCCGGCCGAGGAAGAGGAGACGAGAAGGAGAAGCGGAAGATACT